AGTGCTATGAATGACCCAACTTAAAAGCCTGCCAATTGTCATCCAAATCACATGTATTTTGATAGAGACTGACATGTAACAGTGACCTATGTTAGAAGCCACTGTGTGTATGTGGTCAAAACCAGATGAGAATCAAGCCTCAGGAGGTGATAATTTGCTTCAGAGCACTCCTATTTGAGACACTCTGAAATCATCCACTGAATCTGGAAATTCTGATTCCTATAATGCCTAGACACTAAAAAAAAAATCATCCATGGATCCCATGGAATGTATTTATTTCCTGGCTTACATACTCACTTTGCTCCCTATTCCCTGCCTTTACAAAACTGAAGAATGTCTGCAGTGCAATACTGAAGATCACTTGTTGAAAGCAAGCCTGAAGAGTTTTCAGTACCCACAGAATCCTGCAGAAATCCAGTGTATTTAGAAACTGCTTCTTGCTTTGCTCCTTCCCAGTGACATCCCAGGCACTAAAATATGCTTCTTATTGTTTGGCAAAATAAACTTCACTTTATGATGAACATTTCCCATTATCCAGGAGTAGAGCTTTATGCCAGACAGCATCATAAATACATGCCACAAGTGTCTTGCATATACATCTGCATGCACACACACTTTTTAGGAGAATTATCACCATTTCCTTGATTCAAATACAATCCTAACAAAAGAAAAAGAAAAATCTGACAAATTTTCTGGGCAATCACATAGCAGGTAATATTCAGAGAATGTAAAAAGTTGTTTTTTCCCTTTTCTTGAATACTGCTAGTGATCATATGACTATGACACATCTGCACAGCATCAGTATTTCTCACTTCACCTCTTGCACTAAGGTAACACGACCTGGTCATGATATTACTGGCATTGTAAAGCTCTCTAGTGAAGTCTTTTATATCCATGGTGGGGTGCATAAGTAGCAGAAGTTAACAGAGATTTTTATGGGAAATTATTACAGAAACATTTAAGACAGTTGTACAAGTTTTTATGAATGGGCATCTTTAACCTTGCAGATGTAGCTGCCATTTGAAACAATTTTAGAGCAGAAGGCTTTATCAGTCATATAGCTGAGCTCACACAGATATCACAACAGCTTTACATGTGTGTAATATCACATGTTATATCAAAAAACTGGTTTATGGACATTTTACAGGCACCTTGAATTTTGGTTTTGATGTTGGATTTTTTTGGGTTTTTTCCAGTGCAAGAGATCTAGACAGTTTATATTTGATAGGCTGCTCATAAATTATACCCTACTGCTGTTTGCAGGTTGGAACTTCTTCCCACACAGATTTCATTTTATCATCAGACTGTTTAATTCTGCGCTTATAAAAATGTCATCCTAGTCATAAGGGAAGAATTAGACAGCACTGTCTTAAGATTTTCTGCACATACCGTGACAAGATGCAGATCCTGTGATACTAATATGCCAGTAGAGTATATCAGTTCCAGGATCAGGCCAATACACATGCTGTTACTGAGCTATGGCTTACTGCTTTCAAAAGTGCAATGAAATAATAAAATAATATAAGTTAGTAATACATTAACTACATTACAGTATTCGCACTGCTACCTCTTGATATCATAGCCTGGAATACACTAACACACTGATAATATCTTAAGAGAACATTAAAAATTACTTTGGAGCAAAAGCAGTACCAGCTTTTATATTATCTCCAAAATAACATTCTGACTGTGTGAAATAAGTTATCAGGAGATTCTAACCCTTCTCAGGTTGTGGCTTCCACACTCTTTTCTAAAAGACAGTGAATTTCCCCTTGGAACACACTTACAATCAAGTTTTGTGAGAACATATTATAGATTTTTTTTTCCAAGTATTTTATCCAACTTGCTGAATGATATACAAAAAAATATCTCTATATGGAGTCACGCGAAGATAATTTAATCACATATAATATTTGAATACTCACATATGTTATTGTATTTTAATTTGTACAATAATTTGTAAGTTAAATAGTTTAAATTTTTTTCACTAGTGTAGTTTATGGAATTACTGCTGATGTATAAAACATTCTGTTCTATGTAGATAAAAAAATGTACATTTAAAATGTATATAGAGTACCAGCTAATGAGCTAAACAGATGGGGTTGTGTATTTAACTTCATTGGAAAGTACTGAAATAAAGTAACTAACAGCATTTGTGTAAATGAAAATAAATCTCATAAAAATCTGAATGGATTTTCCTTTGTTAGACAGAAATTTGTGCTTGCCATATAACTACATATTATAGCCAATGGCTGTGGTTTGCTGACATGTTCTGTCAATAGCTATGTCTCAGCTATTAAAAAACAGTAAGTTTATACATTTGTCTCAATACTAAAACAAGGGTTTCTGCACAGATGCCAATGGACAGAACTGAAAAAAGAAAAAAAAAAAAAATCATGAATCTCAGTACTCCAAAAAATACAATTTTCCCAAAAGTGCTTCTTTCAAAAAACCCTAAACAAATTAAAGTGGAACTTAATCACAGTACTGATCTTTTACATAAGCCCTGCAACCTGATAGAAGCAGACACCCATGTCTGGCTCCATCCATGGAGCCTCTGTGGGACTACTTTTGTCTTCAAAAACTCAGTTATGCAGATCCAACTGCAAGCTGAAGGCTTGAACCTATTTCATCATAAATAATTCTGGTTTGAAAGGCAGCTATCATTAAAATGCCAGGCAAATGCAGAGGAAGTACTTATTTTAAATAAAACCTCTCTATTTCTCTGTTAGATCCATTTAAGAGCCTTCAAAGTAAGAAATATTTCCACTGGTGCTTACTTTTCAATGCTTGCACCATTCATTTAGTATCTATTAACATGCTAGCTAAGTTTGGACAGGAAAGCTGGATGCTTCATTCCACAGTTAGGAGTATCTTTATTTATTAAAGACATTACTCCAGTACTAATATTTCTTATTTAACTTCTGTTATTTCACAGAGAAAGATGTATTTTATATTAGAGCTAAAATTAAATCAAACTTAATCCCAAATTATGCTAAACACTTAAAGGAGTTTTGATAGATTAAGGCCCACTCCATCAAGCTGCTCCATTCAGACAGGTCTCCATTTGTAAGAGCCCACACAGCAATCCTCATCTTAGGAAGACACTACAGAGATTCCAGTCACAAAAAAAATCACAACTGTCTTGCAGCAGACACAAAAACCAAAGCCACCATGTTTCTCCCCAAATTATTAGAGTACAACAAACACTTCCTCCCCATTAGTACATTTTAAAATGTTTAACCTTAATCATATACTAACAACCCATACCCTGAGCTCCACTATTTGCAAACCTGTATTACTGAACCTGTGGTGAAAAGAACATATGTAGAAGTGAGCTAAACTTTTTTAAATGAACCATCACCATATTTCACTATTATTAGCATTCTCAGAGTTCAACTCTAATATTACTGGTAGACAGAAATTCTCAGATGGAAGTACAAACTTCCAACCTCAATGTTTTTACACCAATTGTCTTTAGAACACCCCCACACTCCACAGTGCTTTATATCCTCATATAAATAAACTTGTACACACTGAACTCAGAGGGAAAATCACCTTTTGAAAAACTTCATAACAATATTTCCAAAGTGTACACTCCTTCAGGTGAATAATACAGCCTGCAATATAACGTTTCACATTCTGAATAATTCTCCTCCCTTTCTTTTTTTAATCATTGTGGTTCTTCAAGTAGCTACTTACCCACTTAATAGTTTGATTTCATGATCCATTATATTAGGGATTTTTCCATAAACAGAATATGTTTGCAATACAGTAGACTTGAAACACACATGGACAAGACAGACAGTAACAGAATCATAGATTACATACACATCTGTTCCCTCAGGTCTCAGCCTGAGGAGCAAAGACAGAAGTACACATGCACACAGCAGTCTAAATGCAAGAGATCATCCTCATCTTTTTCAGCTTGCTTCATTTATATCAGCTCACTGACTAAGTACAGGTGTACTTGGGGAAGAGGGGCATGCAGACATCCAGAAAAAAACTACAAAGAAAACGCTTTTGGAAACTAAACACACACATACACTCAGTTGTAAATTCGTGATGAAAGGCCATTACAACAGTTTTCAACTGAAAATGAATTCTGTTTTCCTAAATTACTGTAACAAGAGCAGGCTTTGCTGGTGTCTCCTATGAATGTGTCTGTACCCTGTACCAAGAGCCTGCAGATCCCACGAGATCCACAGGAAAGCAGGCCTCACATGCTCCAGAGCTTCCGGTGCAGCCAAAACTCCTGCAGATGACAGCTGTCACTGGACAATGCACAAACCCAACACTGGAAGTGAACACTGAAAAACTAACATTGCCTGAAGGTATGCAAACTTTTCACATAGCAGGATAGATTTCAAGTCTCAATCAGACTGCTGGTTTATCTAGACTCATTTTGAGAATAGGGTAAGAACACCTGCAAAAATTAATGCAGGGTAGTACTGTTTTTCTACTTCTTCCCTTCACAAGGCACATTCACCAAACTCATGGAGAATGGCTACTAAATTTATACCACTTACAACAATGAAATTGGATATGGGCACTCCAAAATGTTGAAGCAAGATGGGTAGGGCCCAGGTTCCTAGCAAGCTTGTAAAGTACCACATTTGCAAATAAGCACAGAAATAAACAGAGAAACTGAGATCCTATTCAAAAGAAAAAACACAGTCCTCTGTCATTTGTCCCATCCAGCGGCAAAGATGCTGCTCATCAGGACTAAAACATCCCTCCCATTTACAACTTCTTGGACCAAAATGTCACGTGTATGCAGACAGAGATAGGTTATACTCCAAGCAGACTTTCAAAGCAAGACCAAAGTTGTGATCACCGGATTCCACATAAATACTTTTTTTTTAATCATTCTGCAAAATCTCTCACAGCTGCCCTAAACAGTTTACAAAAACAAAGTGATCAGAGAGATGATTTATGTTTGCAACATTAATGTCTTCCCTTTCCATGACCCAGCTTAATGCAGACGTTGCTGCACTCACCCCAGCTGAGGTTTGGCAGGAATCGGGGGAGGAATGATGTTGATGAGTGAAAGTGTTTGAAGCCCAACTAATTTCTCTTCAACTCCTACTGGTCCCCCCTGCTCTCCCAAGCCACTTCCAGCCTGGCACTTGTTAGCAGCTCCCGACGCTGGGGAAAAGAGGTGCCTTGCAAAAGCTTCCTCCGAGCAGCTGAGAGGAGACTCTGAGAAGGTTATGCAGAAATAAAACCAAACGAAATGACTGTTCGCAGGTCGGCACGCTTCACCTATCTTACACCGGGAACAATGGAGAGGCGGGCAGCGAGAGGATACGGCCCGGGAGGACGGGGCCGGAGGGACGCGCTGTCCGTCCGTCCGTCAGCTCTTTGTCCGTCTGTCAGGCAGCCCCGCCGGCCCGATCCCCGGCGCGGCCTGCGCGGCCCCGCGGCTCCCGGCCGGGGGAACGGAGGGAGCGGG